TTCCGTTAACCATCCAGCTATTGAGGTACCCCCCATTTATGGAAACCCCCATATTATGATTTGGGTGTGTCTGAGAATAGGGGATTTAACCACAATTTATCGCGGCTTTCATAGGGACAACTTGGGAAAAGGATGATTAGCCAGTGGCTGGTTTTGGATAATTTTGGAGGGAACAACTTGGGGACTTTAAAGATGAGTTCTTGTCACGTTGGAACATGAAAGACATCTAAACACCTGAGAACTATGTCATTTAGCCCCTTTTGGTAATTCAACATAGCTCGTGAAAGTCACCTTTTCTAATAGGTACATCACCGTAAATCATCTATTTCTATGGGCCATGGCTTCCATAGCTATGGCCAAAGGGTAGATTTGACACCTCCACTCAAGGTACCTGCCTCGAAAGCGGGATGCCCTAAAAGTCGTGGGGATGGCGGAAAATCATGAGTTTCTTGCTGGCTTCAATAAATCCTCGATTGGGATCATCCTGCTAAAGTCAAAACTCAAAAAATACGCGGGAACCACATTTTTTGTGCCCTCCAGTTAGTTATATGATCTTATATTTACCATCCAGAAACCATAGTTCATTCAGTCACTTATCCATATCTCAACGCAAAAACCACTGCTTCGGAGGCCCAGCTATCCCCATCCACCGAGTTGGTGTCCCTTCCAGGATCATGAGTATTATTGTTGTTGATTTTTTTGACTCATAACTGGCTGATTTCCCTATGGTTTATGGATTTTTTTGGTAGATATCACTGATATCACGATCGAGCCCATGGGGTTCAAAAACACCAACGTTGACATAACGTTTAGGAAACCTACCTTGCAAATTGCAATGGGCCATATTTGGTATTTTCCACAGCTTTGGAACACCCCAGCACAGAAAATGGATAATTTCTGGGCTCCTGCAGAAGAGTCATGTAGCTCATGACGTGCAGTCGCCAGGTGTCAGTGCGGAAAAGCATGGGGTTGGTGCCTTAGAGCACGGGATGATCCAACACGAGATATGCTTTTCAACACATGTCTAGCAACAAATAGAGGATACTAAAAACTACCCTCTGGTAAACAAACATAGCTATTGAAAATGGTGATTTGTAGTGGATTTAGCTATAAAAAAATGGTGGTTTTCCATAGTGATGGGATTGAAACAAACTTGAGACAGGACCATTGGGACGATACTCGACGGTGTTGGTATCCCCAGTATCCTGGTTGGTGGGATGCCTACCCCTTCTGAAAAATGATGGAGTGAGTTCGTCAGTTGGGATGATTTTTCCATTCCCAACTGATTCTGGACCCCTTCTGAAAAATGATGGAGTGAGTTCGTCAGTTGGGATGATTTTTCCATTCCCAACTGATTCTGGAAAGTCATAATCCATTCCATGGTTCCAGTCACCAGCAACCAGGTATCAGGATGTCAATTTCATAGGTAACTTATGACCCATTCCCGATGGTGCTCCTGAGTTTCCGGCTATACATCAAGCTGCGAAAAGGATCACGATGCGCTGCAGTGGACGTGCACAGCAGGGATGAGTCGTTGCTACCTGGGCACCGCGCTGGCGACTGGCATCATTATCATCTAATCATTGGAAGAGTTGGTTGAGAATTCCAATGGTATGTATATATATATATACCTATATATATATAACTATATATATATATGGTATAGATATATAGTCACTAATCAACTATTAACTATTCCATGATAATGTATCTGTATACATTTCATAGTTATGGATATATATAATATTACATATTGTGGATACCTACTTAATGATTCAGTATTCAATGATGATATACATAGTTACCAAACAACACTATAGTCAATACTCTCATGGATATTCAATGAGATGGCAAAACATAGATAATAGTCAATCATTCCATTCATCAATGAATTGATGATAGTTGATCATGAATACGTATGTATATACATATACATGTACATTGATTGTGGGATATTGATTTTGGATAAGAATGGAATATTATATATATAAAGAGTAAACACACAGACCTCCTTTTACTACCACTCCGCAGCAATTTGTTGAAAATCAAAATAAAAAGCCGAAACACTAAGGTAGTAAATATCGGCAGGTGGTTACTCTTTAATCCCGGGCCGTGAGAACATCTGAATATTAGGGATATTTCTCAAAACAGTTAATGTACTCTCTTGTAGAGGTGAAAAACCCATCTCCATGAAAATACGTTTGAAACCACAAAAGCCTGTCCTTCAGAATGGCTAGCCCTAAATCTTATGGTTAAAAAACCAGAGCTTCTCCGATAACATGGCCATAAATAAACGTATCCAAAAAAAATGAGACCCATATGTATTCAAGAGGACTCAAATAAATCAAGCACCCTTGAATACTGCTGGTGGGCAAGGACAACAACATTCTTAGAAGGGGAAAAACATTGCTCATTCAAAAAGATAGTCACCCATATCACATTTTTGTAATTATATAGATTTTGGTCTATGTGCCCTTACTCCCCATTCTATTCCACTAAAGTAAAAGTAAATGGGTCTGTATATAGTATCATACCCCAATGTTGGCAATGATGGATGATTCCCTCCGTGTAAACCAACATGAGAAATTCAACTCCTGGCTCCGTGGTTCCTTCAGTTTTGAAAGATAAAGAGGATCAAAATCCATAGCTCCTAACCGCTTTCTCCATTCACCACTGTATATGTATATCCCAATTTCAGGATGCTTTAACCATATTAAACACCGATTACGAATGCAAAAAATAAATGTTGATCAGATTTTAACATTTTTATTCTCATTTAGTTCGATGATTTTCTAATTGAGCCATGAAGAAAAAGATAAAAACATCGCCTATCCCATCTCATCTGGGTAAATTATAATATTTCACTAACCTGAATCCTGTGGCCATTTGGGGATGATTTCCCAGATCTTATCTGGTTGGTGGCTTGAACCCCTCTGAAAAATGATGGAGTTCGTCAGTTGGGATGATGATTATTCCCAACTGAATGGAAAGTCATAAAATTCCATGGTTCCAGTCACCACCAAGCAGTTACTACTAATTCACCATTAACCAGTATTAACCATGAATTTGAATAATCCCTAAAGCCTCAAAAAGCACCAAGCAGATATTGTGGCTCCACCCGATCGAGGCTTGGACACCACCAGGTACGTGCAGCCGCTTCATCACCAGGTCCGTGCGGTACTTCGCCGCGCTTGGACCTGGGATATTCAGCGAGGATCTCCGAAAATTGCTGAATCTTGGATGGTCGCCTGGTTGTTCACAGCCGGTAAATCCAATGGATGTTCATCATGTTTCCAAATTGATGGAACAAAAAAATGTCGCTTTTGCGATCCAAAAAAAATCGACCCAGCCTGAATTTAACTTGGTTAACCATGAACTAGTTCGATATATGCTGAATTTCATCACCTGAAACGCTTAGCATAGGGCCATCCAAAAAAGGGGATGATTCTCCATTGATCCGTATTTTTTTCATCCAACCTCCTTAGACATTCCCCAAGTTAGAAATCCCAAAAAAGAATCTCCCTAGAAATCCCAATGGTTGTGGTTGCTGATACCATAACTTATGACATTAAACAGCAGCGATTTTGATCCCCCGGCGGCCCCGGCTCAAAGTGGAAGGCCGGGCCATGTTGATAGCGCCTCGCCCGAGATCATAAAATAACGATGGAAAGACAGGATGCTCAACGGGTAAAATCAGGTAAATCACCTTTTTTTTCTGGCTATTTTCCAGTTCTATGTGAGTTTACCAGCTTCACCAGCAACTTTGGATTCACATCCTGCATTGAAGCCAGTGTGAATGTTGAGAACTGCCAAAAAATGAATGGTTGAAGGGCTGTATGTGAATTAGCAAATGGTTGCAGTCCAAAATTGTTCGTTCACCGAGATCGATCATCCAGGGCAGGGTTAGAAGCCATCCCAAACTACTGTGGTTGAGTTCTATCCTAATCTTCGGAACATTTTACTCCCAGTTGGGTTTGTTTACACCTACGAACTGGTGAATCTGATCAAAAAACACAACAACACATGTCATTTTGGCACGCGATGGGTTGCGATGGGTTCCGATCTAGTCAGAGTCCCCAGTCGTGGATCTATTGGGAAAACGCAACCGACGAAATCCAAGACTATCCGTATTACTATCTGGTTGGTGGTATACCTACCCCTCTGAAAAATGATGGAGTGAAAGTCAGTTGGGATGATTATTCCATTCCCAACTGACTGGAAAGTCATTCCAAATCCCATGGTTCCAGTCACCACCAACCAGCAGTATGTCATGTTATAGTTATCCCACATTTGTAGAGGATTTTCGCTCACCAAACGGCTCACCATCCACGAGCCGTTGGGGGATCAAGGCTCCCAACAAGCTCTGATGCCAGGAGCGTCGATCGGAGTCACACCTGGTTGCCAGTGGCCAGGTCTGGTCATATTGGAGATGGTTTATGGCTGAAAAAAATGGTGTACCCTCCGGTAAAACTAACAGTTTGCTATTGAAAATGGCCATTTATAGTGGATTTACCCATTAAAAATGGTGGTTTTCCAGTTCGCTATGTTAGTCATTACCAGAGGGTATAATCATGTATGATCTCTAGAACTTCTACCAGGTTTTTGTTGATCATTTTGGAGATGGTTTATGGTCACTATATTCACTATTCATAGTTCTACCAGGTTTATAGATCTATTTATACAGGGTGCCCCCCCCAGTTATAAGTTGGTTTATAAACCATTATACCCTCCATTAACTAGTTCGTTATATCTACCATACACCATAGAATTCAGCCACTTATAAACCAACTGAACGCTATCTTGGCCCCATCCTGTAGATTTACAGACTTGGATGTATTGGGATATAGTGGAGATTGGGATGTAACTGGATACAAGGTGGTGCCCTATAGTTAGCTAAGTTGGTTTATAACTTCAATAACTATGGTTTATGGTAGATATATCTATAGTTAATAGAGGTTATAAACCAACTTATAACTGGGGGGCACCACCTTGTATGGCATAGAAACCACACATTTTGCACGAGCGACTCGGGGCCAGAATCCCAAAAGGGCGGCTGCCAAAGGTTGTCGGGGAAATGGCTGGCCACTGGATCGGAGCTGAAATACCAGGCCTCAAAAAGCTGCTGGAGGAGAAAGTCTGGACTATGAATAGTGAATATAGTGACCATAAACCATCTCCAAAATGATCAACAAAAACCTGGTAGAAGTTCTAGAGATCATACATGATTATACCCTCTGGTAATGACTAACATAGCGAACTGGAAAGATCCACCATTTTTCATGGGAAAATTCACTATTTCGACTGGGCCATTTTCACTAGCAAACTGTTAGTTTACCGGAGGGTATATCAAGGGATCCCCATGATGTGTCATTTGGGCCTTGCGTGCCAGATAGGGTTGGACCTTAACACAGGGGAAAAAACGACCCATGGGGATTTTCTTACTGGTGCGAAACGTAGGGAATGATCCAGAATCACTAGTAATAATCATCCCATTCCCCCATTCCCATCCATTCCCTACTAAGCACCAGTAAGTTTTGGGGTTCCCAATTTGGAGCCAACCTCATACTTCGCAGTGGCTTCAAACCGAAGATTCGGCGTGATTTCAGACATCTCAGGGAGAAAAAACTCGCCATTACCCACAGATTCTGGTGCCTTCCAAAGGGATTTTCTATCATGGCGAATAAGAATCTGGTGGTTAGCCTCCTCAAAAATATGCGACATTTCTTGGAGACCATCAGTCCCCTAGTTTTCACACCAGACCAGCTCTGTTCCTGGATCTTACCCATGAACCGATCATAGCCATAGCTCGATTAGTCCACACTCCCCATGAAGAACTTAGAGAGCCCATACTTCACCATCAACCAAAGACCATTTAGCTTCAGCATTTTTGCAGGTCGCCAACATTTTGCACCTATTCCTGATATTCCTTTGAAAAAACGACAAATGATAAGCCTGATCAGCTGGTGAGATCCCACAAATGACCCCTGCTGTTGAATAAGCCTTCAGTGGTTGCTGCCAAGGCTCTGTGTAAGGAGATGGGGGTTCGCCATGCTGCCGAGCCGTCAACATTTCCTGCGCAGGGAGATGTTGATGGGTCAAAATTGGGTACTGAAAATGGATGGTGACCCGATTACCCAAAACTTTGGATGGTACCCTCAAATTGTGTACCATAGTATGGTACCCTTCAAAAAAATGGATGCTTAACCGATTTTTTCTTTCTTCAATTTGGCCCAAAGGGGGTGACCATGCTGACCATTTCTGGAGAAAGCAGGCCCCCGGACGTAAAATGGAGGCCCGAAGAAGAGCTTGTGTCGCAGATGCCTGGGATTTGTTGATGACAAGGGGATACAGCAGGGATACCCTGGACATATAAAGGGAATATTCTATGGGAATCTTGTACTCTGGATGGTTGCGAAATCCTGGACCAGTTGGTAGATGGTTTATCCCATTGTAATCCCACTATTTACAGTGAAACACTGGTTACACATAGTTAGCAATTTTTGCAGGATTCCTTCCGTCCACAGTATGATGGGATATTAGCCCTTTAGTTAATTAGCTCCATGAGGGTTTCCTGCAATTTTTTCTTACACCTTTTCAAATCTCACTAGAGGGTAACCTCCAGTAGTCAAACCTGGCAATAGGAAATCCCTGAACTAAATAGAGGTTTCTAGCTGGGAAAATCATACAACTATAGGGGGGGTTTTCGGGTCCATGTTTGATTACCAGAGAGTAATATCCCATCGCCCATGATATTCCCAATAAATACCTATTTATGGCTGGTGAAAGAAAAACCATGAAAATCCATGAAAACAGATATACATCAATTCAACCTAATGAAATAAACCCGTTTTTATTCTAATAATATCCCCACTACCACTCCATCCACTCCCCATTCTCATCCAATTAGTTGGATCTTTGCCAAATCACACTCCGAAGATCTTTGCTCCGGCCTGACAAGAGCTTCCAGTCATGGGGGTTTCTTCGTGAGCTTTGGATGGGTGATTTCAATGATTTCATGGAAAAAATTGGGACATTTTAAATGGATGACTGGGGGTCACCCCCTTTTGCTGTGGAAACCTCTTGGTTTAGCTGTTCACGACCAAGATTTTGATCACTTTCAGTCTGAACAATCATCTGGGTAAATTATAATATTTCACTAACCTGAATCTTGCGGCCATAAAAGGGGATGATTTCCCTATACATTCACCATGATTCCAGGCTTCGGGAGAACAGGCTTCGGTCGTGATGAAATTTACCCAGATAAAATGGTGACTTGGGATCAACATGGTTAAACATGGCCATCTTAGTGTTGGATTACCTGACAATTACCCAGATCGAATTCTGTGGGTTTCCCCTTTTCGATGCTCCCCATGACCAATCAATCCACTTGGGGATCATCCAAGCGATTTCGCGGATGGCATCGCCGGAATTTGTTGCAAAGCCCATGACGGATCCATTCCGGTGCTGCTAAAAAAATGGTGCTCCATGGATCCCAAATTTATATCCCCCAGTCATGTTAGCATTTTTCTACCACCATGGATCCGTCATGGGTAGCTATGGTATAGAGGGCCCCCGAGTTCGATGATTTACCTACTCAAAATGCTGAAAAAAATGCGAAGTTCGCAAGTATGTAACAGTGCCCGAGGCAAATCATTGGGGCTGCCCCACGGCCAACCTGCAGGACATCCTGGAAAACTTTCCCAACTAGCTGTCTACAGAAATACATATGGGTCTGTCTGAGAATGATGGGACAATGATCATAAACCATTGGATTTTGAGGTACTTTATGTTCAGACAAACCCATATGAGATGGTATGCGCAGTTGAAACACGGCCTGATGTCCAAGTGAGCCTGAGGACCTATTCATTACCCAGCCATCGGATACTATCCAGTAAGTCAATCGCCTATCCGACTAGAAAAATTAGAGCCGTTCATCAATTCATGAAACTCGAGATTCAGTTTAGATCTGTTAAACTGACCTGTTAAACTGACCTGTTTTTGACCAGGGACCATTTTGCCATATCGGGGATCAAGTTACCTCGTTACCATACCTTTTTCGCCATGGGCTTCCTGATCCACTTCACGGCCTCTGTGGTCTTCAAGTTGGACATTGCAACCTGCTGAGTTCACTGTGAGTTCACTGAAAATCTTAAAAATATCATAGCCAATGAACCAGATACCCGGCAAAAAATAAGAGAAATTCTTAGCTGGTGGTGAACGTAGATAACCCCATTGGTGCCAAAAGACTAGTTAGGATTAGTTTCTACCCATCCGGTTGATTGACCTAGATATAGGCTTATAAACCAAGAAACATCATTGGGGCATCACCTTGTACAAATGATCAGGCGAGTCAGGCGATACTCGCAGTGCAGCCCAGATCAATTGAGAAATCCAACTTCTGTGCCTCCGGTAATGTGTAACATCGCTTTTGAACATGGTCCATTGATAATTGATGTAACTCATTTAACTCTTAAAATGGTGTTTTTTCCAAAAACATGTTTACCAGAGGCTAAACTCCTTTTGGGATACCTTAAGGATGACATCCCATATATTCGAAGGAAGTTTAGAAGTCAAACTTCCGACAATATGGAGAGATGAAAGAGCAGTCAGCAGGGAGAAGAGTCAGGAGAGAAAAGATCAGAAGAAAGAAGATGCAGGTGCGCGAAAAGGTAGGAAAGTCGCGAAACACTGTGTTTTTCGTGGTTTTGTGGCTCCGGAGGGTTGAAAAGTAGGCTCGCTAAAGCGGCGGGTGCGGAGACATCTGGGGAGATGAGAGATGAAAAGTTGCACGCCGTTGTGGCGCGAACCACATTTCGAAGCCAAAATGTACAAAACACACCATTGCCGGACCACTTTTGGAAGTTGAGGTGTTGAAAAAGTGCACGGTGTTGTGGCGCGAAGCACATTTGGAAGTAAAATGTGTTAAAAACTGAGGGGTTCGGAGCAGTTTTGGAAGTTGAGATGTTGAAAAAGTGCACGCCGTTGTGGCGCGAAGCACCTTTCGAAGTCAAAATGTACAAAACACACCATTCTCGGACCACTTTTGGAAGTTGAGATGTTGAAAAAGTGCACGCCGTTGTGGCGCGAAGCACATTTCGAAGTCAAAATGTACAAAGCACACCATTCTCGGACCACTTTTGGAAGTTGAGATGTTGAAAAAGTGCACGCCGTTGTGGCGCGAAGCACATTTCCAAGTCAAAATGTACAAAACACCTCAGTGTCGGACGACTTTTGGAAGTTGCGATGTCGAAAAAGTGCACGCCGTTGTGGTGCGAAGCACATTTGGAAGTCAAAATGTTAAAACAAAACACTAGGGGTTCGGACAGCTTTTGGAAGTTCAGATCTCGAAAAAGTGCTCGCCGTTGTGGCAAGAAGGACATTTCGAAGCAAACATGTTCAAAACACTAGGGGTTCGGACCACTTTTGGAGGCTCAGATGTCGCTTCGCTTCGCTTCACGACACTACACTACATTACACTACACTACACTCCACTACACTACATTACACTGCACTCCACAACGCTACAACTACAACTACATAACTACACTCCACTACACTCCACTACACTCCACTACACTAAATCACACTACACTACACTACATTACATTACACTGCACTACACTCAATTACACTACACTACACTACACTACATTACACTACACTACCTTCCACTACACTTCACTACATTACACTACACTACAACTACAACTACAACTACACAACTACACTCCACTACACTCCACTACACTACATTACACTACACTACACTACCTTCCACTGCACTTCACTACATTACACTACACTAGAACTACAACTACACAACTACACAACTACACTCCACTACACTCCACTACACTACATTACACTACACTACGCTATCTTCCACTACACTTCACTACATTACACTACACTACGCTCCACTAAACTACAAATACAACTACACCACACTACACTCCACTACACTAATTTACACTACACTACACTACCTTCCACTACACTTCACTACATTACTCTACACTACACTCCACTACACTATAACTACAACTACACAACTACACTCCACTACACTCCACTACACGAAATCACACTACACTACACTACATTACACCACACTACACTCAATTACACTACACTACACTACATTACACTACACTACCTTCCACTACACTTCACTACATTACACTACACTACACTACAACTACACAACTACACAACTACACTCCAGTACACTCCACTACACTACACTACATTACACTACACTACGCTACCTTCCACTACACTACGCTACCTTCCACTACACTTCACTACATTACACTACACTACGCTCCACTACACCACAAATACAACTACAACTACACACCTACACTCCACTACTCTCCACTAGACTCCACTACACCAATTTTCATTACACTACACTACACTACACAACCTTCCACTACACTTCACTACATTACTCTACACTACAGTCCACTACACTACAACTACAACTACACAACTACACTCCACTACACTCCACTACACTCAATTACACTACACTACACTACATTGCACTACACTACCTTCCACTAAACTCCACTACACTAAATTACGCTACACTACACTGCACTACATTACACTACACTACACTACATTCCACTACACTCCACTACACTACACTACATTACACTACACTACATTACACTGAATGACACTGCACCAGAGATAGACAGGTAGACAGATAGACAGATAGACAGATAGACAGATAGACAGATAGATAGATAGATAGCTAGATAGATAGATAGATAGATAGACGGATAGACAGGTAGACAGCTAGACAGATAGACAGATGAAAGCGAGAGAGAGAGAGAGAGAGAGATAGATAGATAGACAGATAGATAGATAGATTGATAGATAGATAGCCAGATAGACAGGTAGACAGCTAGACAGATAGACAGATGAAAGAGAGAGAGAGGGAGAGAGAGAGAGAGAGAGATCGATAGATAGATAGATAGATAGATAGATAGATACATAGATAGATAGATACATAGAAGATAGATAGGTAGGTAGATAGATAGTCAGAGAAAGAGAGCGAAAGAGAGGAGACCTCAAGCACCTTTCGGTCCATCAGTGGATTCGCTCTGCCATCCCTGATTCACAACGACCAACCTCTCCTATAGGTTTCCTATTTTTGAAACTTCCGCAACCGCTTTGTGCGGTACTACTGGTATGGAAAATAAATTTCATGTTTCAAACCACCAACCAGTTATGATTACTGAGGATAGTGAACCGATAATCCAATTCCCATCATTCCGTATCATTTATCCTTGGTCTTTGACACGTGGTAGCGCCAACACATGGCGCAGTGCACCTGAAAGCGATGGCGCACCAATTCCACAGGCCTCCAGTGTGAAAAACCCAACGAACAGCAAGATTCCTTTCCACTGAAATGGATATGAGTCAATCAACATCAATCAACAAGCACCAGGGGAATGCGAAAAATTGGGTGGTTTCCACAACCAGAAAAACTTGCGAAGAATTGATAGAAATTGGCTGGTTTCCATTGATTTCCGCTCAAAAGTTAGCACATTGGCTTCAGGGTCAAGCTCTTAACTTGGAGGGTAACCAGGACTGTCCTAACTCCCCAGTGTGGCTACCGCGAAAACACCTTGCGCCATATGAAATAGGGAATTTCAAGATCATAGAAATAGGGTTAGCATCAAACATCTGGGGATATAGTTGATAACCGATCGCTGATGGGTTTTGAAATAGGAAATTCTCCTGGGGTATTTTTTGGATTATGAACTAACCCATAGGAATGGGACACCTATCAACCAAGTAGCATAATGAGAGGTATCTTCAATGGCTCAAATGATCCTGAAGAGCTCTGAGCTTTTGCGAGATCCGCAGGACATTTTCGACAGCGACAATTTCGCAATGTCGATGCTGTTTTTTGTCGCATCCCAACCGGACCCCGCGATATTTGTGCTCTCGCGAAACATGGCGGAAGATGCTGTATGGAGATTCAATATTTTATTGCACTTCTGCATTGACGGATGGTTTTTCAGCGTAATTCCCGATCCCCAGTCGCGAAAATCTCCAATGCTTTGCAAAAGTGCTTTGAAGATCAGCAAATCAAAATATACTTCGTCATCTCGACCATCACAAGTAAATCAAAGCCGAAAAGTATAAATCGTTGAAACCCCGAACCAGAAAGGTTCTATATGGAGGCTTCCTAAGTCATGGGGGTACCCCTAGTCATCCATTTGATCTTCGGATTTTCCATGACACCAGCGAGCTTGGGGTATAGAGACCCACATCTGTGGAAGTTGTGACAGTTCTGTCCATGTCCTAAGGCCTCAAGTGAAGACATGGCAAATCAAAACACGAAATGTGATATCCATGGTGGCATCGAGTCAATTTAGGATGATCAGATGGCAAGCTGCTTGAAACAGAAAAAATATTTTGGATGACCTTGATTCTTCCAACAATCTCAGGACCACCCAAACATCATCAAAAAATCAGGGCGACAGGGATCCAGAGGCCGTTAGCGTAATGGCACCGGGGCGTTGCGTGCGTCGAGTTATTGGAGCTTTGAGGCAAATCAGGATGTGAATGGTACCCTCTGGTTATTTCGTAGCTATAAAACATCATTTTTCATAAGTAAATCATCATAAATCGATGGGCAATTTATTTCGCAATGTTCAACAACCACAGGGTATATATCGAATGGATATCATCGGAATAGAATGGACATTCTAATAGGATACAAGTGGATCCTCGTGGTAACGCCATGGATGGGCCGGTATGGCCCATTCAGCCTGATGACTTTGTCTCCGGCCTGGAAATGGACCATAAATGATCCCCAATATGCTGTAGTGGCTTGATAAAGGTCACTAAACTCATGAGTTTCTTCCAAACTAATCAACCAAAAACCCAAGTGGCTAAGAAAGAGTGAACTTCTTCCCATATTTCAAGCTAAATAATGGTGAACCGAGGCCTCTTCTCACCCCTCTATCACGTGGAATCCACTGTCGAAGCCCGCAGCGCTTCCAGATCTAAATCTCGGTGCGGTTGCCAGGACCAGCCGTCTTTGGCCAGCGGCTTTCACGGCGCGCTTCACATCGAGGTCGTG